GCGCCGCGGGCGTGTGTTCACTTCAGGCGCCGCGGGCGTGTGTTCACACAGAACCTGACGGCCAGAACTCAGAGAGGCGTGTACGAGGCGAGCGTCTCGGCCGATGTCTTTGAAAACTACGAGCTTTTTCCCAGTTGCCCTCGAAAGACACTACAGGTTAGCAGAAGAGGGGCGGAGTGACCGAATCATCTTCACAAGTAAAAATGAAACGGCTTCTTGGCGTTTGGTCTTCGTGCTCCGTGGCAGATTGTTTTTCTGTTCCTGGCTCTCGTTTTTTGACGTGCCTGTCCCTCGCAGCTGCTGCTGAGTCTAATCACGCACCGATGGTTCGTGTCTATAAACGATGATGATGATGATGCTTCAGTGGAACGTTCGACGTCCACAGTGCACGTTCGATCAGCCATATTGAGAGAATCTTCTGTAAATAACTAACCAGTATTCAAAGTGGACATCTGACCCTCCGAGCCCGTTTGGGTTTCTCAGCATCAACTAAGTGAAAACTAAACGGACGGACTCGTCTCGCTCTGAACTGCCTCGTTCCGTCAGGTTCTAGTTTCATATGAAGTGCCTCCACTGGGCTTGGTATGGAGAAGTGTGAATGGGTGTGGTTTTTGTGTGTGTGTTGAGCTTGGGTACTTGCACACGGGTGTGCACGCTGACTAAAGGTGCACAAAGTGAATCTGACGCGGGGGTGGGTGGGGGGACCAAGCTACTTAGTGTAACTACTGATACTGTGTCATGGGCTGAAGTCCCGAAGTGTGCCACGACTCCTTGACACGGTGGGGTGGCGTCGACTGTTTGCTGCTGACTCACTGACCAAAGTGACCCGGCGACCCGCTCCAACCGCCCCGGCCCAAACGCAGACTTGAACAGGAAACGGACACGGAGGAGAGCTGCTGCCCTCCTTCACGTCGTCTAAAGAAAATCTTGTGAAGTGAAACGCGAACATGTAAACCGAGCTGTAGAAGATAAATCTGGAGTGAGCGGTTCTGGTTCTGGTTCTGGTCCACACAGCACACCACGTTTAAAAATGCCAGTCATTTTAACCAGTTTGCACTGTAAAGATACTGAAGCACATCGTCTGAATTAACTCTCGACATTCTGTTGGGTGACTTATTTAATTTTTACTTTAATGCCGACGCCTCACTCTAGATTTATTTTTGCTCCGATGTAAATGTCTGATTTTCAAAGCGACTGTTCTGAACGGCGGTGGAGGGGCTTCATTTCTGTGTGAAAACGTGATATTCCACTTTTTGCCTAACCTTCAGGAATTAAAATGTCTTGCACAAACATTCCCCCTAACCAAAATAAAGTTTGCAAACACGAAGTGTTCACGAGTGATTTTCTTTACTGTGCGTGTTTACACTGTCCCCCCCCCCCCCCCAACATAAAGCAACAAGAGGAAAACAGCTCAGTCTGAAACGAGTCCCTTAATGAGTTTAAACTTTTATAAATAAGTTTTTAGACTTTTATTTGTTTAAGCAAACCACTTTGCTCAGGCAAAACAAATGTCTCAGTCTGGAAACGTTCCGTTTATAAAACGTTCTTATTGCAAACGAGAAATTGCACTTCCTATTGCAGAGGTTCGAGCCTGTGATCGGAAGATCGCTGGTTCAACTCCCGGTACTGACATCAAACTGTGGGTGGGATAGATCAAACACCCACACCACCCTCATTTACACCACTCTGGGCCCTTGAGCAAGGCCTTTAACCCCCATCATCTGCTCCCCTGTGCGCTCGCTGCTGAAGACGTGCTCTGAAATTAACTACAAACATGCTGAAGTGGAAGAACAAGCCTAAGTTTGCAAATGAAAGCAGAACACATTTGTAAGTAGCAGTGAGCACATTTTGTAGATTAGCTAAAAAAAAAAATGCCCCCAAAAATCAAACTGCTTAATAGTAGCTAAAAAGCTGAAATAAGCACACATGAAAAAAGCTGCAAAGTCAGAAAGAAGCTTAAATTACCAGAAGGAAGTGGAGAGAGCACAATGGTGCCCAATTAGGCTGAAAGAAGCAGAAATGAGCACAAAATTGAGAAATTATCTGAAAAAAGCACAAATTTGCAATAAAACAGCTGAATATTAGCTAAAATAGCAGAAGCTTAAATTACCAGAAGGAAGTGAAGCTCATAATTGTACCCAATTAAGCTGAAAGAAGCAGAAATGCGCATAAAACAGCTGAACAGTAGCTAAAGAAGCTTAAAAAACAGCTGAACAGTAGCTAAAGAAGCTTAAAAAAACAGCTGAACAGTAGCTAAAGAAGCTTAAAATACCAGAAGGAAGTGGAAAGAAATATTTAATGTAGTGGGGAGTTCCTCCTGTAAACTGACTCCATTAACGGATAAAATGCAGATCAAAACATGAAATTTGAATTAGAACCTTTTAGTGTTGCATAAAGCTGTGGCCATCCTCTTTGAGAACACGCAGAACTGGTCGTTTAAGAAATTACGATTTACAAAAGACGTAAGAAAGAAGCAAAAAATACAATTCAGACTTGAACAGTTTTAATAATCTGCTGTTTGGCAGATGGTTCTGATGTTTTCCAACCATGTGACGAATTCCAACAATGTTCAGTGCAGGTCATCTGGACAGTTCCTTTTTTTTATTGTTGAGATGTTTCACCCTCCTATCACCAGCAAACTGGTTGGTCCACTGTAGGAGTGCACTGCTTGGTGGAGAAAACAGTTTGTATGTGACTTCTCAGACTGATGAAGTTCTTCGGATGGATGGTGAAACGTCTCAACAACAAAAAAAAGGAACTGTCCAGATGACCTGACTGAACATTGATGGATTTCTTTACCTGGATTATTGAGCATGGACTATGAGGACATGTGACAACCCCCTGAAGGGTTCAATAAAAATGAAAGGTTAGCTTGCTGAGCGACAGGAAACAGCTGTGGAAGTTACACTTATGTTTTCTGACGGTTCGTTTTATGCGATCTGCACGGTCTTCTCTCAGCTGGAAAGACCCGACCTCCAATTATCCCGTCCTTTTCACTCATGTGGAAGACCAACAAAAATCATGTTAACAGTTCAAAGTTGTGTGTGTGTGTCTTACTTGTTTGTTTAATAATTAAATTAAAAATATTTAGCACCACCTTCGTGGTAGACCAGATGGTCCCCCAAAATGCTATAAAGGTGAATAAGTTTCCAAGACCATCCCTAACTTGAGCACTTATCAAGAGCAGAACTTTATTACTTTAATGAACCAAATCAAACAAGTCTGTTTGCATCATTTCCTTTTTCATTTGATTTAAACTCAACACATACTTCTCCTTTAACCCAAACATCTACAAATCATATCTGTCCTACAAGTCAGTCCTCAGTAAACCACACCTTCTCACTTGAATTGTTTTCAGTTAGTGAGGTTAGAAAATTGTTAAAAGGTCTAGATTAAAAAAAAACTGCAGGACCAGATGAACTTCCACCTTATTTCTTAAGGCTGGCCGCTCATATCACAGAACCGGTGTCACATCTTTAACCTGTCCATAAGCCAAAACTCCATCCCAGACAACAAAGTCCATGCTCAATAATCCAGGTATACAATCCAACATTTTTCAGTCAGGTCATCTGGACAGTTTCTTTTTTTTTGTGCTGAAACGTTTCGCCTTCGATCCAGAAGGCTTCATCAGTCAAGGAAACACACAACAAAACTGATTCT